TCTGAAGGCCGTGGGTTCAAAGCTCGCCAGCGTGATCGTGGATGCGCATTGCTGATGAGTCCCACAATATGACTACACGGCCGACCAGTGCTTACAGGTTTTCCATGGTAGTCTAGCTTCAATTGACTCATGATCTCAACCATTAAAATTACTATAATATCCACAAAACCCTTTTCCATATATATTTATATATATATATATATACTGTTATAACTTGTCGTTTGAATGCTTATTGTCTTGGCTCTTTTAATGCTACTTTTTGTATCTGGTCGTCGCTGATTGTTATGTCGGAAATGCTTATCACTTATACTCGGAACGAGGAACCTATGCAATTCCCACGACGCGAAAGTAAGAACAAAAAGACTGGTATAAGTGATGAATTATTAACGCCAAACCACGAAGACAACGACGATGATGATTCTAGTAGAAAATACACTCATCTATATATTGATTGTACACCTATTTTGATTAATAATTAGGTTGAAATCGCATATATGAAAAACACTTGAAGTTATAACAAATCACATACTGAGTATAGTTCATGTCAATGGAATACAAGAATATTGCATATTATACAGAATAAAATATCATATGAGAAAAGAAAAGAAATACTACACCGAATAATCATCACATTGAATCAGAAAGGTAGTGATCTTGAACAAAACTCATAATGAGTAGATCAATCAAAAATGGACTTTTCTTTCCATCATATCATATACAACGAGCTTTGGTTGTTCTTCTGAAGAACTGTGAATGCTCCACAACTAAACCATCCAGCTCAGAGAACAAAACTCCACCGAAATCATCCATCTGAACTACAAATCTTCTCCACCATATTAATCATTTATTTCATTTGATATCTGAGTTTATTCAGTTGATCAAACGTCGTAAGTTAAACAATCTATAATAAGAAATTGAACGGAATGAAAATTTATTAATCCCATCGTATCCAAAACAAACTTAATCTAAAATAGTATTGTGCAGAAACCATAAACGGTGATTACTTAATCAACGTAATATCCAAAGACTAATCAACTTCTGAACACCACTTCATAGAATTTTATCTAAGAAGATGAACTACTTTATTAATAATCAGTAGTAGTGATATGTCATACGGCATTTTGTTTAAAATAGTTGCTCTGTTTAGCGTGTGTTATATTCACGATGCACTTGTCTCCGTGAAATACCCTTAAAGGTTATGGAAATATCGTCAATTATTGATTAATGTGCATCATTGGTCCACGTTTTTAAAACTTATTTTCATCTAGTCAACTTCACATTCTCAGTTCTTAGTTATTTAAAGCCTATACTAAAACACTGATGAAGCCAAAAGATTTAAACAAACAAAAGAAGTATCAAGAAAACCTCAATGGTTAAGATCATGAGTCAGTTGAAGCTAGACCACCATGGAAAACATGGAAGTACTGGACGGCCGTTCCGTCGTATTGTGGTACTCCTCAGCAGTGCGTATCCCCTGGCTTCAGGATGTATATACTGGAGTTCTAGTGAGAAGCAGTGACTAGTGGAGTTCAACCAGGTCTGTTGTGAGATGGTAACTCACTGAAGACAATGGTGGATGTGTCGCTCAATTTTGTGAATTAGTTGAGGTTAGAAATTAACATGGTTGGATGCCGGCCTGCTCAGTGGTCTAGTTGTTAAGTGCTCGCGTGCGAAACCAGTAAGTCCTGGGTTCAGATCTCGCAGGGAGCGAGGTCGTGGATGCACACTGCTGCGGAGTCCCACAATTGGACGAAACGGCCATCCAGTGCTGCCAGGTTTTCCCTGTTGGTCTAGCTTCAACTGGCTCATGATCTTCACTATTGAAATTACTATATAATATCCACAAAACCTGTCTGATTTATCAAGAAAAGTTGTTGCTTTTCTTAAGAGTTATGATTAAAAGTCAGGTTTAAAAGACTTTCATCATTCCAGTGTCATTTAGTAAAGGGTGGACGTTTCTGGTCATGTGGACCCTCACAATACATGTATCTAGCCAGCTTAAATGCAGGGTTGACAGATTTGGTAGATTGTATATTCGCTCTTATAATCTTTATGGAATTCACTACTACTAATTCTAATCAATTAGTTGATAGTTCTTTGATATTTTCATACTTCTACAAAACAATCTAGATGTAACAGTTGACTGATATTTGGAGAGTACTTTCTGAAAAAAATAGTTGGTTGTTATTCCGTTCTGTATAAGTTGTTTGGATCTTCCCATTGATGTTTATGACTATGATTGATCGGTCTCTTATTGACATCTTTGTTTACAATATGTGTTTGCAACGTGTTTCTTTTTTAATTTTTACCCTGACACAACTTCCACTAATTAACTTGATAAATAGTAGTCATGTGCACACTATCGATTATCTTTTCGAGATGAATTTCCAAAGTTCTACTGTGATTTCCAGATTTCAACCGTGCTGAGAATAAGGACGATACATTTGATGGGATCAGACGAATTTCATGCCAGATTGTGTATTGACTGAAAATAAATGTAAAGATCATTGAAATTTTGTTTGGATTCCTAAAACTAGCCTATTAATTGAGACAAATAAAGTTTCTGAATTTCATCTTATGTACATTTATGAATGTTTCCTGATGAAGAGTTGAGAGTCAGATCAAAGCAATGAATTAATATTGTTTAGTTGCTGCAAACGATCCACTAATTAAATTCATTTTATGATGAAAATAGTCTTTCAGTTAAGCAAAGATGAATAGTGGCTAGCAGTGGAATCCGGGAAGCGCGTTTCTTTCTAAACATCGATGCGAACTTTCAAGTGAACAATACCAAGTGATCAGAGAGGGATTTTGTGGATATTATAGCAAATTAATAGTTGAATTCACAAGTCATTTGGAGCTAGACTACCATGGATAACATGACAGCAGTAGTATATATACTAAACGACAAGGATTCGAGTCCCTGAGTGAACATCAACACTGGGATGCAGGTATATCCAGCTGACGAGTCTTAAATAGGACGACACGCGTGTCAAACATAACAGAACCGGTTGAGCTCCACTGGTCGTTGCTTTTCACTAGAACTTCAGGAAATACCTATTTAAGCAGGTCACTAGTGGGCATATGTTGACTAGTATTAGAAGGTTAAGCGTTCACGCGCGAGGTCTTGTGTTCGAACCTCGTGAAACTTGATCGTGGATGCGCACTGCTGAGGAGTTCCACAACAGAACAAAGCAGCTGTTTAGTGCTTCCAGCGTTTCCATAGTAGGCTATTTTTGATTGACTCATTATGATCTTCATTATTTTACCCTAATTATACTAATAAATAATGGTATAAAGATGTTGTAGAAATACATCTATTTCCTCCATCCTAATTGTAAGAATTATATACATATATCTTCTTAAAATGATCCTAATTCCATTGATATATTATTATATGAGTAGAATGATTTGTATATCGATCAATTAGCATGTAAGATGTTTCAATTGGTTAATTCATTTCAATTTATGATCGTTGTCATTGCTGTATGACGTTTAGTCACTAATATTAATAATAATAATAATAATAATCGTGATAGTGTGTTGCGCGCTACTTATATAGATGTAAGTAGTATGTGTTGCGAGTTAAAAACTTAATGTCTGGCAGCAGAAGATGGGCGAATATCAAGAAAGACAGAGCGGAAAGACAATGCAATTTGAAATGTGAGACAATGGATTGATAATTGCAACAGGAACACTCCGGTTTGATATGATGGATAGACATTTCGCTAAGTAACGATTTACTATATGGTTTTTCTATTTTACCAAGTAACTCTATACTTTTGTGCCTAAAACAATTCGATTGTCCACACCCGTCTTCTGTTCACTACAATAGTAATAATAGTAATACGCACATATGCATATAGACGACAGTTGTTTACGGATTGTTGTTTTCTTTCTTTTTTTTCTCTTTCGATCTTTCCAATATCCTGTGTACGTTCTCTTTCTTGCTCATTAAGTCATTCATTCATTCATCCATTTGATTGTTCATTGTCTTTCTGACATACATAATACACATTCAATAGAATGAAATTAGGTGATAATAGTTTTTTTGTTTCATTCATAATTTCGTTGGTAAAAACTATTTTGATGGTGTTTTCTTCACTGAGCTGGATAGTTTGATCGTGGAGCTTTCATCGTTCTTCTGAACATCATCATCAGCACAATCTTCAGGTAGAAGTGAATTGTTTGAATTTCTTCACATGTGATTCAAGACTTGTCCTGTACACCTCGATGCTGATTGGTTCTTTTAACCTTAAACCTGTCACTGTTTGCTTTTTTATTTTGATTATATCTTGGATTGGTTGGATTTTAGTTTCTATGTTTTTACACACATCTGAGATACCAATCTTCCCCACCGCCTGCTACTACTCATGAAGGAGCATTGTCCATCCAACTCTGTCCTGGAAGATCCTTTCCAGTTTTTCCCAATTGTTATTCATCCTTTTGATATCTACTTCTATTTCCCAACGTAATAGGTTATTTGGCCTTCCTACTTTCCGCTTCCATTCAGGATTTCCAAGTTAGGGCTTGCCTCATGATGCAGTTTGATGATTTCTTCAATGTATGTCCTATCCATTAGAAAAAGATTGTCTAGGATAGCGTCTGATGGAGAGTACTGTTGGGCGTCCTATATTCCTCCATAAGGAATAACAAGTATAAGTAAATAGTGAGTTACAAATCTTCTCCACTATCTTAAAACCATTTAGTCGTCAAAGAATTTTCAATCAAATTGATTAACTGATTATATTTACCAATAAAATCTATTCGTTAATTTGACTATCATTTTATACATAAACTATATCCAATCATCAATTTAGGAAAATAGATTTTAACCCTCTGACCAGTCATTAAAACTATGCCAAAACAAGTCAGACCTAAATTTTAGTTTTCCCTTAGATGATGAACGCGCTTAGGTATGCACGTCCGTAAGGTATGTCAGTCCGTTACAGATCCATATATATATATATATCCATCGATCTATATATCTGTGGAAAATACAAGCATTGGCTTTTATTAGATGTTCATATAGAGTCAACTATTATAGGTTCTATTTACCAGATCTACATCTATATTTAGGCATAATGTTTATAAACAAAACAGTGAACCCAGTATTATTAGGATACATATATCCCTATATCTATATAGAATGTTCTACTTCAAAATGGATAGATATAACACATTATAACTGATAAACTATCGACAATATCCTCCTCCTCCTCCTCCTCATCCTCATCATCATCAGTATTATTCTTGTTTCTACATAGATGTAAATAGATCTTTTCTTCTTTTCATTTTCTTTTTGAGGGCGGCGGGGTTGGTGAATGTAACTTTTTTTCTTTTCTTAAATGGTTCCATCATCGAATTGAAAAAAAAAACAAAATGAGTATGATCCAACATTTTCATAAAAGATCCGATTTGATTAGGATCATTCTATCGATTATAATGATTTGGTGTATGATTATGTTAATGGATTTATCCAATGGTTATTTATTGATAAAAGAAGAAAAACTTTTACGGAAATTAGTCAATTTGATTCATGCCACAACAACAAATGATTTCAATCTGTGTACAATTCATTCACGTCAATTACAATATTTATTATATACTACTTATAATACTACTACTACTACTGCTACTACTACTACTCATTATAATGATATTCCATTAGCAGCAGGAACAGCAGCAGAAGCGTCGTCAGCATCATCACCAGAAGGACCCGGATCATCAACAATGATTAATTTAAATGAAACATTCTATCCAATATTTCATCATTTAATCGCACAAAACTCTTTAACACAAAATTTCTTGCATGATATATATAGATCTATACAGATTATGAGACATTTCAATCGTTGGCATAGCAACAACCACTACCACGACAACCACAACCTCAACAATCATGATACCAGGAAACAATTAGAAGTCTATTTATTTCATTTATTACAATTAAATCAACCAATTGAATTTTATAATATGAAATTATTCAATAATTTCATCACTATGAATGATGATTATGATGATCAAAAATCCAAGTTAATTGGTATTGGTTATTGTTTCAATGGGATATTAATGGCTTATGTCAATAATTATACTACTACTACTAATAGTAGTATTAGTAGTAGTAGTAGTGATTCCTCTGATCGTAATTCTATATGTAGTCAATTTCTATCGAATGTACAATTATTTGATAATAGTAATGAGACTATACGGTTTAATGATTATGAATATGGAGAATTTTCATCCTTTTGGGCACCAATTCAATGTGAATCTAATTCAATCATACCAATAGTTTTACGATATTTTATTTATACAAAAGAAAAAAGGTAAGTCTAGGAGTAAAGTGTGTTATGCCGGTTACTCCCAATGGAGTATAGACCGCTGACCAGCATTCTTCAATTCACTGACTTCTCGGCCTTCCTTTCTAGTTCCATCCAATTTTCGTTTATTTTTCTCATGTTTGTCTCCATTTCTCGGCGTAATGTGTTCTGTAGTCTTCCTCTTCCCCTCCTTCGGCATTGAGGATTCCATGTGAAGGCTTGTCATGTGATACATTTGTGTGCTTTCCTTAATGTGTATCCTATCCACTTCCTGCGTTTGAAGCGAACGGTACCGGATTCCAGTCCCGGAATGAACATCAACTCTGGGAGACAGGTTCATGCAGCTGATGACTCCCAAACAGGATGAAACGTGCGTCAAACTGGATTCCACTGCTAGCCAATATACATCTTTGCTTAATGAGCGATCATGTTAGCACATTGATGTGTATTATTTTGTCATATTATTTTGGTTATCCCACTAACAGTATATTCACTAACACTGTTACTGAATTCATCATGATGTCCATAGTGAACACATAAATTCTCATATTGTGAAATCTCCAGTCACAATGTTTAATAGTCACCTAGGTCACTAATATTTCTATTTTTATACCTGTATGTTTTGCGGTTACATTTATAAAAAATGAGACCACAAAGATAATGATCAATAGTGGTAGAGGAATTCTGTGTATTAGGTTTGTAGTGTAACTACAAGGTTTAATGGTCCAATAGTTAGTCACCATGGATTAATCTATGAAACCAATTGATGTCAGACAACTTCTCCTCATTTAGTGATTTCAATAGAAACTTCATGGATAGAATTTATTGGCAGAGAGGACTTTAATTATTGATTGGCTTGTTCTGTCAGTCTATTGTTTGAATATCATACTGAACAATCTAAGAATCCATTCTGAATATAAATTTGGTGAATACATAAGTCACTTATGAATTGTCATGAAGAATTGACTGACCATAAATATACTGCATACTTTTCTTTTAAGCCCAAAGATTGTGTTCTTCACAAGATTTGTGAATTTATTAGGTATGCAAAGATAGTTCGTAGTA